GTATATGGAGTCTGTCAGTCTCCAGGTGGTGCCACTCCTGAAAAGCAAAGCACATTCTCATTACCAAATTGAAAGGTACTAAAAAACATAGGATTGGAAGCATTTTTTAGATAATGTGGGTGTTTTGTAAAAGGTTTATCTTCAGCTATAGGAAAGTTACATTCCATAGGATAGCTTAAGACAAGCAAATTTTTGAGGAGTAGTACTTTTTCCTTTTCTGGGTCTTGTTGAGATAGTTATTCAAGAAAATCCTGTGCATGCAAGGAAACCAGTTTTATCAACACACAGTACCTTCAAAGATTTGAACAGTTGGCCGAAGAGCCAAAGATTCTGTTATTCCTTTTGGCACTGAGGCTATGAGAACCACAGAAGTTCTGGCAGGTTGGCATTCGTCCCGTGTGTACTGCTGATAGTAAACTTGATATACTGTTGGAGTGGTGCTGTTAGAGGCAAGGATCTCCAGAAATGGATTATAGCATTTAACATCCAATATCCTAGAATTTATTTCCTTGTGCTAGAACTTTAGGATTTAATTTTTGTTCTATAATACTAAATGCTATTTTTTTACTTCATATAAATGAAAGCACAGAATGGAAGACAAAGTTAAAACAGTTACAAATAACTTTTCAGTATATCCCTTACTCAAGAGTTCTCCCTCAGGGTTCCTTACAGTCTTATTTATACGTAAAAGAAACTGTTCTAATCTCTGATATGGACATTTTGAAACAAGACTATTTTTTATGCAAGCTGTTTAAGGGGAATAGCAAGCTGCATCTTGTAACCTAAAGTGCCCCAAGCTGCTTTAAAGCTTGAACAGTATCTTGAGAATCAATAGATTTTCAAACTGTGAAATGCTGTTATTTATTTTCTGCTGTTGATTCTGTCTCAAATGCTGTTTTGTTATTGGTATAAGCTAGCAATGTTAGTTCAGTTGTTCCTCAGGTTTGGATATAAATCATTCGTTCAACAGAATTCCTTCAACTAAAAAAAACACAGTACTTGTTTGAAAGCAATGTTAAAAACCAAATGTACTGGACGTGTCTTTTTAAAAGAAAACCATAAAAAAACCCAGTAGAAACACAAAAAACCGGCAGATATGACTTGGAAAATGATAATTTTAAAGTAATTCTAAATGAAAGGCAAAGTACTATTAAAATTAAAGCAACATTATTAAAAGATGTGCTGATTTTCAGTCAAATTTTCTGTAAAAGACCAATTAGTTTAAAAAACTTGACAGCATTAACTGGAAAGCATAAGCACTCTGATACTTATACTTTAAAAAATGATTGAACAAATGGGAAGGCATCCCCGAAAGAGCTGTGCTACAATTCTGGACATAGGCTAGGTGGCACTGCTAGCTCAAATATCTATGTCAGAATTTCCTTGCTATTTACCCAGTTTCAGTGTCTGTGATGCATTTCCTTTTTTCTGTGTTTAGACAACACTTATTTCATATTCTTATTCAGGATGCTGATCATAGTGATGTCCTACAGATGTCCAGTGTTGGGCTCAGTTAATGACAACATCAAACAAGTATTTCTTCAGTTACGATTTTACAGTCAACAAAAGGGATTTACTACCATCATTGGAAAGTGTCTTGTTACTTTAAGTACAGCAGCACCCTTCCAAAGACATTCTGTAGATCAGCTTCTTACAAGTACTGGCATATCCAGGCCATGTACCATCCCAGAGAGCAAGTAGAAGATCACTCTCAAATTAATTTCAGTGTAATATTATTCTAAAGGAAATGGATATCAACTAATTCTGCTTTTCAGTGTTCCCCAGTTCCAAACTGGCAAGAGGTAATGAGTGTGATTTTTGTGACAATCGAAATTATGGATAGCTGGGTTTTTCCTGGGGAGTGTATTAGTACAGGAGGAAGCAACCTTATTCAGCAGAAGGTGACAAAGCTTCCTTATTCACCCATCCTTTCTTGCTTATGGTTGGATGTTTTTTGATCTGTTGCAATGCCAGAGCAGTCTGTCCTAAAAGTTGGAATCTTTTCACTCATTGATGGTAAAACCCCAAAAACCATAATTTGGCTGCACTCACTCATCAATGGTGACATCCACATCAGTCATGGTGTGAAACTCAAATTAAACCTTTGTTCCAAGATAAATGTTGAATCCTTTGATAATAAGTGTCTCAGCTTTGCCTTAACATTTGTCTAGCAGTGGGAAGCCTTTCTTCAGTGACAGCATTCTGTTCCATCGACAATAGACCTGATTCTTTTCTCATTTGCATCAGTTTCATAGTAGTATATGGCTCCCAGAGTTACTCCCGGTTGGCACATAAGTCAGAATTGGGCCCATTATAGCTTTATTACACTGGGGTTTGAGGAAGTGGGGTATTTTATTATATTTGTATTAATTAATTTGTGACAGTGGCCTGACTTGGTACGTTATTTTACTGCTGCTTTCATTTCTTGCTTTAATATGAGATTTGTAGTAAAATGAGCAATATGGCCACAGTATAATTTCTTAGTAGATCATTGAGCGACAACTGAGTTTATAAGGGGTGATTTTGCACTTGCATAGCACAAAATTCAGATGAGCTAAGAGCATATGTGTTTATATCTTGGATTCTGGCTATAGTTGCTATAATTTGAATTACAGGATAAAGAGAAAGATAAAGAGTTGGAAAACAGTGAATGCTGGCCTAATGATACCTTCTAAAGAGTAATAAAATTATTAGTACTATTTTAGACTTTTGCCTGTTTTACCAAACAGTGCAAGTCAGCAGTTTATAAAAACAGGCTATTTTGCATGAACCAGCATCCATCAGTCTTAGAGCAGGTGAACATTTCATATCATAGTTGGCCTCAATGCAAACCAGTCTTGAAAAATCTACCAATGAAGGTATGCTTTACTTTTGTTTTGTGTTCCTCTATCTTAAAGATGTAAAACTGAGAATACCTTTTTTGAATAATACTAGATACCACTAAGAAAAAGAATCAAAAATACTGAATAAAAGAGTGGGGAAGGCATGATAAAAGAGACTGTTGCATGAAAGGGTATGCTTTTGTGCAGGTGTGTGCTTTAAGTAAGTGCCATACAGAATATGTTGAAGCACATTTTGATTGAAAGGGCTTTTCCAGTTTCTACAGTTGCAGTGCCTCCAACATCTAGATCTGGCAGAATTTGGGTTTATATAGATGCAACTGATGTCAAGCAACATTACTACCCAAGTGCAGGAGCAAAGGAATTGTGCTAACCATTTTAGTTCTGAGAGCTATATAGCATACGCTGACAAAGACTAGGAAAAGAGGCTAAGCTTAATGCCATTTTTTTTTTTTTTTTCATTCTGCGTACTTCCATGTTGGAAAATTATAGCACAATGAGAAGTGTTGTCAAAGAGGGCAACTCTGATTGTCACCTCAGGGACATCAAGGAAGAAGTAATTGAAGAATAAACAATCATGACTGAATATCTTCTCTCTCTCACCATGGCAATTCCTGTTAAACATCATATAATCACTCCAGACTTACATTCCTGCAAGGGGTCACATTGATTTTTCTATATGTTAAGAAAGATTTGAGTATTACACTTGAATTGTTATACAGTGCATTCAGAAATGGAAGAGCTGATTTGAGATTAGCTGTTGTTTTAGACTAACTGAATCTTCCTGAACACCTGCTGATGTCAGACAACAACACTTTACACTACACTTTGTATTTAAAATATGTAGTACCTTACCCAGGGTAATCTAAAATAAATGGAATTGATAAGATGCAAATATTTGCTTTAGGGCATGTGTAAAAATACGAATAGGTTCATCTAATTTTAATTTAGTCAACAGGTGAATGGCATATATGTAAATAAGCAGAAAAGCTTGAAGTTATGAAACTGGAGTGTAAGTGAAAAACATTGCTACCCTTTGTATCTGTCATCTCAAGTAAACAATAGAACTGGTTTCATTGTACAAAGAAAGAATATCAAAGTAACATGGATAGGAAGCCAGTTCTGCTTTTTTATTTCAGGATAAAATATTTCAACCTGTACCTCAGTTTACCCATGTATTAAATACTATTACTTTACATGGCTCGAAGAATGAATTAATGAAAAGTATTTAAAAAGTATTATCTTTGGAACACAAGTGCTGTTTGAGACTTCAGTATTCATTTTTACTTGGTTAGATTACAGATATTTGATCCAAGTCCTAGTCACAAATCTAGTAACGGAATTCACAAATCCAGTAACGTCAGTCCTGTATACTCTACAGTGAGCTCATTTTCTTTTCACATGTCCCTCATGCTTGCAAAGCTTCTAAAAACGCAGACATTAGTGACATTGTAAGTGATGGTGTCTCCTTTTTTTGTTCATTTTTGAATGAACAAAAAAAAAAAAAAGTTATTTTTTGCCCGGTAAATTACATTGCAGATATTTAACTGAGTATCTCTGAAATATACCAGTATGCTTTTAAGTGAACTTGAAAGTCATTCATCTGGCATTAAATTAATATTTAAAATACCCATTGTTTGCATGACAGACCAGCAATGCTACAGATGCTGGCAAAATGTCAGTGTGGAGTAAATCTTCCCTAATAAACCACACTTACCCTATACCCTAGAGTTTTTTAAAAGGACCACCAGGATCCCAGACTCATCGTACATGTATCTGGGATGAACTCAAGATGTTTAATTGATACATGCTTATGTCTGAACACTGTCAAGTCTCGTAATAAGATGTTTAGTACAATACATTGTTAGACTGCTAGAGTCCAGCCACAGTAATAAGTAATGACATTTGCAGCACAAAGGCAGCTCCCCAACGAATTGGTGACAAGAGTAAAAAGGCAATCTACTCTGTGTAAGCTTTAAATGTGGTCTGAATTTTACAATTACATGTCCTAAAGCCCATTATTAGACATGAAGGCAATGAGAAGGAAAGCAGTCATTGCATCACTACTAACACCAATTATAGGAAACATAAATCATTCAAATTTTTGTACTTTAATAAAAATCAGGCTGAATTGGTGTTTAAAAGGAAGGATCTAGTATAGGAGCCTAATGGGATAGAAGAAAATAGAGTAATTGGAGGCTGCTGTCTTTTCACTTTCTATATAAAATTATTTGAAGAGACAGCCAAGAACTTTAAACAGCAGAAACACAGAAAAGTTGTAATTTGGATGTCTTCAGTTGTGACTTTAATGGTGTTTGCTTAAAGAGCTTTCTTTTATCTCTGCAGACATACTTCAATGACAATATCCTCACACTGATACGGACTTTGGTAACAGGAGGAGCCACACCAGAGCTGGAAGCACTGATTGCTGAGGAAAATGCATTGAGAGGAGGTTACAGCACACCCCAGACACTTGCAAACAGGGACAGGTGTCGAGTTGCTCAGTTGGCTTTGTATGATGGGCCATTTGCAGACCTAGGGGTAAGATCACGAGGGAAATGTAGGACCAAGGCGGGTCTGCAATCTATTTGCTTTCTCTCAGAGCGAATTAAGAATCTATCTTAATTAGTGTATAATTTCTATTATTTAATTTAATAGAGCCCAGTTTTGCTCTTACACTTTTTGAGAAGTTTTATGACTTCCCAGACTCCTTGCCTGGATATTTCATACAGAAAATCCTGTGGCTCTTACTTGCCAGCTATAAATAGATGAGCTGACTCAGAGGATGTAACCATTCTAATACTAATCTATTGTAAACGTAAGCAATATCAATACCTTTGTTGAGTTTTGATAAGCTTATTTAGTCTTTCCACTGAGCTTCTAGTTGTTGCCTAAAATATACTATTAGCTTGGAAAAAAAACCCTATAATGTTTGTTTTCTGCTGTTTCTGATGAAGTAGAATTCTTGCAAAACCCTAATTTTTTTTTTTTTTGACTCCACTATAATAACAATGAAGTAAAAAAAAAAAAAAAAAACAACAAACCCAAAACAAACCAAACCCAAAACAAAATAAACAAACCATCTTTAAAAGCAATGCATTTGTATAAAGAGGTATGTAGAAACGTTTTCTGGACCAAATCTTGTAATCTTGAGGCAAATCCCAAAGCACCCACTTCACTTTGATGGTGATGCAGGATTCGATATTTCTTAAAGTAACCTCGTGTTCACCAGCTCTGTTCAAAATGAATGGAGAGTCCTTCTTCACAGAAATGACAGGGAATGCCAGTTTAAGGATTAGGGGTGATGAGGATACACAGAAGTAAACAGCCTTTCACTTCATGTAGAAGTCCATTCATAGCTGAGTCTAAGAGCTCATCAGAACACTTGGGCAGCAGTTACGTTTCCACAAATAAAGCAAGCACTACCAATCCTTCAAATGCTGTTTTGCCAGCTCAATTGCACTACATCGGTGAAGGTAGAATGCAGTAGCACTCATCGTTACTTAAGAATGAATATTTTAAATATACAAACTATGAAATCTAATTTTTTTTTTAATAAAAATATTTTAGGTTATTTATGGAATATGACATACATTTCATCATTATTTCACTGTGGGAGATACATTACTTCCCTTTTAACCCCTCAGAACTCTAAATTCTGTTGTGCTCCCCAACAAATACATTTGTCTAGATGACAGTATGGCTACTACCAAAAAAGGGTCAAATATACTAAAAAATATTAATATCACAGTTAATGTAATTTTTAGAATATGCATTGTTTGCTACCAAAGTTTGTATTTCCAGCCTAAAGCAAACCACTCACTCTT